GCATTAGTGAAGAGACACCTTAATCCCCCTGAGAGAGCCTTGGGCACCCCCGCTTACTGTGAGACAACTGGTCCCTTGGTATATACCTGAGCTCTTACATGGGCAGGTCCTACACCTGGTTGAGTTTTCTTTATAAAATAATTAATTAAAAAGCCTTCATATCTAACTTAAAGATCAAATTATCAGGAGCCCCCAGTAAAAAAAAGTAAAACTAAAAAAGGAAATTAACTATTTTGGGATGGATTGTCAGAGCTCAAGCTACTAAGTAGTCAGAGGTCCAGATTCCCAAAGTAAAATGTGTAAGTGCTTTGCTGAATAGTGATGAGATGAATCAGATACTTACATTTAAGCCTGTGCTTATGCAGAATTGACAGCAATATGAAGAATGTATGACCACCGTTCATGCAGTCCAGCTCCAAGGTAAAAAAGCCAAACACTATCATTCTGAATGAAAGGGGCACAGCATTGTAATTGTAAAGGTGACAGGGAAATTACAAGTTAGCTTACCTCTGAAATAACTACCCCAGTACTTCTGAACAAGCCTATCCCATGATGGGAGGGATCTACCTGGAACACAGGATCATAATGCTTTGGGTCAGATACCAGCTGGTAACTAAGCGGTATTGAGAAGAAAGGTTTAAAATCAAATTATGGAAAACATGTGCCAACCTAGAAGAACAAACATAGATGTCTGATGATGATAGGGACAGAGAAGGTAGGTGTGATGAATGGCATGCAAATATATTCTTTCTGATAGACTTTCTGCATTTAAAGGAACATAATGCACATTACAGCTCAGCAGGACACCAAACAGAGAGCAATTCACAAAGGACATACTTTCTCCTGCAAGTGCAACATTTGAACAAGGTAACTTAAAATCCAAAGCTTTAAAAAAATCGAAGGGTTTTCTCCTTGTACTATGTACTGTTGTACATACGAATTAATACAAACTGTATTTGAATAGTTTCACCTTTTGACTCTTTTTTTACAGGATAAGGTAGGGCAAGGTAGCAACTTTGAGACTAGTTCATTCAGAAAGGCATAAGCTTTCATGACAGCACATGTCTAAACCAGTTAGTCTCTAAAATGCTACCCTGTCTTGCCTTCTGCCCAACTTCAAACTAAGGTGGCCAACTACCTCTCTTTACATCATAAGTGAGACTGTTGTTCATATGCATTGACAAGAAGAAATTGAAAATGTCCACTCTGACCAACACTCTGCTTTTCTGGACAGCAACCTGAAGATTTTGTTCCTGATTGTTGCTAGAATGATTTCCTTACTATCCTCAAGTATGACATATCTGTACTTAACATAGCTTCAGTTCCTTTAAAGACACAAAACAAGAATTTAAAAAGAAAAATGTTCAGGCAACAAAAGGATACAGAATGACTTACTTGAAACATTATCTTAAACTTCAATTGTCCTATAACCTGTTTATTTTTTAAGTTAAAAAACTAATCTGTTTTACATGTTCATAAAATATGAAATACAGTCTTCATAACAGCTTGTTACAGCATGCTAGAAATTCATTACAATTTGATTTTAAAATTCCTTTTAATCCATTAATAAGGGTAATTATCTTGTTGCTTTTTAAAAGATATTTGTCTTATTATTAATAAAAGTGACTATTTGCAATTCTTTTAGGGTAACAAAATGGAGAACAATTCAATTCTGGAAGAAGTTCTTTTAAAGAAGTCGCAACAGAAGAAAAAAATGTCACCAAATAATTACAAAGAAAGGCTGTTTGTTCTGACAAAAACACATCTCTCTTACCATGAATATGACAAACAGGTATGAAATCATTTTTTTAACTATGTAGGTCAAAGATTTTCCAAAGTCTGTTTATAAAATCCGCTTCAGTTGTGTAGAATTAGACACTTTAATACTGAAATTATACCATGACAATTTAAATGCATAAGACTCAAGCAATTCAAAGTCATAGCTACACATGCATATGAAGACTTGTATTTTTTAGCATATGTAGTAACACAAAATACTGCATGTGTGCATGGGACAGAGATCCTGTCTGTCTCAAAAGCCAAAACTTTGAATTTCCTCATTTTCTTCATCAATGCAGATACCGTGTAGCAGGGATGCTAGTATACTTTGTTCAAAGTTCTGTTTAGAAAGGGTATGGGCCCAAATTCTAATTTCAGTCCAGAAAAACACTTAAGTCCACATTTAAGTCTTTACAGGCTAGCATGTAAACCTATGCTTAACCTCAGAGCTAGGCTTATTTCCCGTAGAAGTCAATAAGACTTACGCATGGCTAAAGTTAAGCACATACTTAAATACTGTCCTGAACAGGTATGTTTTCCTACTGACAGCCTCTGAGCTTCTTTGCATATCTGACAGCTCTTCAGAATTCATTTATACAGGTCAGTGTAGAGTTTATTCCACATTAAAGTAAATGGTTAAGCACAATTGTGCTCTGTAAGATGTCTGCATATCATAGAATGAGTACTCAGAAGAGCGTCCTCCCTTGTGACTGAACAGTATACACTCGCGTTATGAATTGTTGCGTAAGTAAGTATTGTATGATTGGGCCCATGTATCTTAACAAAGTAATAAAGACAATAACCAGACTCCCACTTTCCATTAGGGACTGCTGCATGCTAGGTAGATATAAACCTGCTGGTGGCAAGGGATAGCTAGATGACCTCCACAGATCTCTTCCAGACCTATTTTTTTTTTTGTTTCAGTGATTTCTCCTTCCTCATTTGTGCATTCCAGTTTAATAACTTTTTTTTTTTTTTAATTTCTTCTCTGGTGGATGGATTCAGTCTTGTAATCTTTTTACTTTAATTTCAAAGGGAATTTTGTCCATGTCTGGAATACAAGATAAGATGCCATGAATGTCTCTTAATACCTTTCCAAAAATAGTAAAGAATGTGAAGAAGTGAAAATACTCATTCTAGTTGAAACATGCAATTACCCTACTGCTTAGATTTAAGCATCAATTTGTAAAACTCATGTTGATCAATTAATTTTGATTTGATTTTTGTGTTTGAAATTCTGAGCACCACCTTGCATTCTACTTTGATTTCTATTCTTAGAAAAAAGGAAGCAAAAAGGGATCAATTGATATTAAGAAAATACGATGTGTTGAAACTGTGAATCTTGATGAACCAACTCCTTTGGAGAGACAATATCCATTTCAGGTGAGATTCTAAAATATCAAGGGCAACAAGTGTTCTCCTGCAGATTTTGAGGATCTTAACTGTAGAGAATAATATCTTGTGGCACTCCTAACTGTCACAAAAACTTGTAGCAGATTGAAAATGAAGCCAGGCTGTTATAAGCTAGTGGTCTCCGCCTTTTTCAGTAGGAGATCCCTTTTGGAATTTAAAAGCAAACCAAGATCTACTTCTACCTCTTGCCAATTCCCCCTCTCCCCCCAACCTCTGCAACAGGAAAGTGTGGGGAAGGAAGAGGGAGACAGATCAAGGCAGAGGGATAAAAAATTATTTGTGGGTGGCCCCCACCCAGCAGGTAAGTCTGTGCAGGAAGGGGTGGGGGGAGGGGAAAGGGCCATGGCGGGGCACAGATCGAGGCCCCAGCCCTAGCCCCACTCCCTCTCTCACTGCTGGGGCCTCAATCTGCCCCCCCTGCCAATGGTGGTGAGGGAGAGAGTTGAGCTGGAGCAGGGACAAGCCCTGCAGCCTGGGTGGGGTGGAATGGAGCCATAAGCAGCTCATCCACTGGGAAGAGCCACAGCTGCAGCTTACCTCACCCCGCCCTATGTGCAGATCCAGAGGCACATGCCCCCTGTGCCCTCCAGGAGTGCATGCCCCCCCTCCCCACACCCCCGAACAAACTGCTCATGGCTCCAGCCCTCCCCACCCTGGCTGCAGGGCCTACTCCTGCTCCAGCTCCACTCCCTCCTGTACTGCTGCTGCAGCTGCCCACACTGCCCCACATTTGGGGGGGCACATGCCCCCTGATCTGTGAATGGGGTGAGCTACATGCATCCTGCTGCTCCCATGTCCTGCCACTCCTGGACTGTGTCCCAGCCAATCCTCACATGTGTCCTGCCACTCCCTATTGCAGAGCCTCTGACAGTCGATCTCAGTCTGGGGGGGGGGACTACCCCCCCCCCCAGACTGCGATCAACTGTCAGGGGCTCCCGGATCAACCGGGAAATTGCAATTTACCGGTTGGTCAGGGGGCCCCTGACAGTTGATCGCAGTCTGGGGGGGGGGGACTACCCCCCTCACCAGACTGCGATCAACTGTCAGGGGCTCCCTGATCAACCGGTAGATTGCAATTGTCCAGTTAGTGACCACTGTTATAAGCTAAGACCAAAGACCACTGAAAGTAATGGGAGCCTTTTCATTCACTTCAGTGGAATGTAGATGAGATCTCGTGTACATATATTCAAGTGTGTATAATAGTTTATTTTTCTGTAATGCTATATACAAACATGAAATATTTGGTTTTGGATATCACATGCTTTTGTTTTAATATGCCATTGATAGATGCTCCATCTAATCTCTAAAAGAATCAGTGATTTTTTTTTTCCCTTAAAGTGGTGCCCTAATTCAGTTAGGAATTGACCCAGGGAAGTTGTATGCTCGCAACAGCCCCTTCTGACTTGATAAGCTATGATTCTATGAAGAACCATAGGGCATATAGGCTTTTTACTTCTAATTATGATGTGAAATTGTGGCCTTATCCCAGCTAGAACTTGACCGCTTGAAGCACTACTGGTTAAGGCCCTTACTTCACAGTCATAGAAAATTAAGGCACAGTTATTTAACTGTGAACCCAAATATTTTGGCTCTTCATGTCTTTTGGTGTCACCTGCTCTGCAGAGCTTGATTTTTGGGTTTCTTATGCATGTTCCCATATCCTTTGTTTCCCACCCCATTATAGTTAATGGACTCTGAGCCAGCTGGGATAGACTGACTGTACAGTGAATTGCTTTTCCCGTATTTTTTAGATAGTGTACAAGGATGGCCTTCTTTACGCCTACACAGCTAATGAAGAGAGCCGAAGTCGATGGCTGGAAGCCTTGCAAGAAGGTGAGGTTAGTTTTACTACTTGTGAGGGATTTTTTGTGCATTTGTTTTAAAAATGAAGGAGGTTTTATGAATTCATAGAATTCATGCAAATAAAGAAAAAACACTTTAATTTGATTGTTTTCATGCAATATTTTTATCAGTAATTTTCAGTCCTGACCCCACCCCCACAGAACAGTGAAATTTTCAAAAAGTTAAAACCTCTCATTAAAAATAAATCAAAATAAGATGAGCCCACAGATCTTCTCTTCATTTTTTCACTAGGAGAAATTGTTGAAGATTGCTTTTTCATTAAAATCCTTCTTAGGTAGAGCTTGGAGACAGAGGCCAGCAGGGATCTAAGTGGACAGATAAAGGAGTGGTGCACAAGGCCAGTGGACAATTGGAAGGCTTTCATATATAGAGTCTTAGTCTCTGATAGATAGTGTTTTGGGTGGCTGTATCCTTTGCCTATTTTATTCACCTGACAATTACATGATGGAAGCTCCCGGACTTCCTCTTCACAGGGTTTCTTGTCCATTAAGTTGTTTGGTTTTTTTTGACATATCAGAATGGGGTCTGACCTTTAGGGTAGGGACAAATGCACAGGTTACAGTGAGTTAAATAAGAGACAGGGGCTTACCACACATGGTAACAGCTTGCATGCCTGTTCTTACCCTGCAGTAAATGGAAGCTAACACTGAGCAACACTGTCCTATTTCACAGGGAGTTAAGCTGCCCTAGGACAGCTTCACTTACCATGGGGTAAAAGAGGGCAAATAGACACTACAGATCAAGTTCTGTGCAGTATGTCCCTGTCGAATGTTAACTCACCATAATTGTTAGTTTGCCTTTATCATAAGAAGTAACCCTGAGATTTGGTTCAGTGTCTTCAGCTGAATTTATATTCAAGGATGGCAATCTAGCAAGGTATAGTTCTTAAAATAAGGTTGCTGAGAAGTAGCATAATATTGTAGAAAGCCTGCAAGGTGCACTGTAGTGAAATGCTTATGATTCTTTAAGGAAAGGAGCACTATAAAAGCATTAATAAATATCTGTGGGTTAAGAGTTTCAGACACCCAGTAGCTCTTATTTTTGTGGGTTCTCAGAATTCTTGAATATATAATTAGGGAGCCTTATTTTAAGGCAACTGGTTTTAAAACCTCACCCTGTGCTGTTAAAGTTTGTTTTAATTACTTTCCAAAACAAACCCTAAAGCACTGGCTTCAAACACTAGTGTCACTTACAATATTTGAAACCATTTCTACAGAATGAAGGGGTGTTTTTAATACAAAATAAAGTGTTTAAAAGGTTATTCCTTCTTGACTTAGTCAATACACTTTCCACTCTTTTCACACAGTCAGCTTGTCATTTGGTGTACTAGGTATCTATTTTTTCATCTCATTTATTGTTATAATATGTATTAACTGAATGGAATTAGAGGACAAAAATCATCTTGCCTATTTTTATATATTATTTTGTTTCTTCTACAATTAGTTAAATAGAAATTTCTAACAGTCTATTAAAATCATTGTCTTAATCCTGAATCACAACTACTGAGTCTACCCCTCCATTTTACTTACAAGCCATGTTCTATCAGGAAGCCTGTTCAAGTTCTTTTTTCCTCCTTGTTTTTCCAGAAATTAGAGGGAATGCTGATTTACTGAACAAGTATCACAAAGGCTTCTTCACCAATGGGAAGTTTCTCTGTTGCAGCCAGACTTGTAAAGGAGCTCCTGGATGCACCATTTGGGAGAAATGTAATGTGCCATTTGTGTTTCCTTTTGAATATGTTTTTAGTTTTTAATGGTGTTTTTCATTACATTACTAAATCCATATAATCAGTACATACAGTTCTAATCAACTGGTAGATATAAAAGCTGCCTACTATTCCTCTTGATGTGTATGCTTAACTTCCACTAATAGTACTGCAATGTCATTGAGGGAAAAATAATGTGATAGATGAGACGTACTCTGATTTGATATGGTTGCACAAAAAGATAAATGGCAATATTACACTTTATGTTCACGAGACAACAAAAGTAAATTCACTCTTCTTTCTTCAGTTCTCTGGTTAAAATACTGTGTTATGCTACAGGAAAATAAAACCAAAAATTGTTGTTAGAGTTTGAATAATCAGATTAGCTACAAACAACACAAACTCAGCACAGAAAACAAGTGAGTCTATTTGAAAGGATTCAGTTTGATATTACTCCAGAGTAAAACTGACCTCTCTCATCACACCTATAAACTGGACAGTATTTCTAAACAGGCCCATACTTCCCCCTTTCTAAGCTTATTTGGATATCTTCTGGAATCTGCATTTAAAAGAAATAGGTTTCCAATAAGTGCAGAGGACTCAAGAGAATAGTTGAAAAATAATTTTAACTGTTATAAACTACATGCTGCTGGTTAGCAAGTTTAGTTTAGTTTTAAAAAAAAGTTCCAATCAGATTACTTCAAGAGATGGGTACTTCTGGGAACCTGATATTATTGAAAGTAGAGCAAATTCTCATATAGTATGAACTAATGCAGCTGCCTAACAAGCAGAGTTGGCACCTGGGGCCAATTCTGTGGGAAAGCAGGTGGAGACCGCAGTTTTGAGAGCAGGCGTGGGAGTGAGGTGGGACCAGTTCTAAGAGCTTGGTGCAGGGGGCACATAGGGGGAAGGATCTGAAAACAGTGGGGAGGGGGCAGCAGTCTTGCCCACCCCAGGAACTCCTACATAGTCCCAGCTGAGCTGTTGCTGCTTCTGCATGTGCTCTGCCAACCCTGGCTGTTGCTTTTCAACAGCAGCAGCTGGGACCTGGCATGAGAATGCTACCAGGGCATGGACTGCACAAGGGTGGGGGGTGATTCTGGCACCTCTCCTAATTTAGTGCTTTGAAGGGGTGGGAGGGATTCTTGCCCACCCCTGGTTACACTACTCAACTCATGAGTCCTTCCCCTCCCACCCCGCCCTTCCAGCACCATTTGGCAAAAATGTAAAATAAAAATTGAAATAGAAATATATATTAATTGAAGTGGAAGGCCTAGAAATCTTGGGACAGTACACACAATACACCTGAGAATGGAGACTCCAGCAGTATGTTCAGACCATGCCACAGTACTGGAATTTCCATTTTCTTTTAACTTTCTTCTTTTTAATTAAAAATAGAATCTGTCATATCTTTTAATCCATTTGTTCTTTAGGCTTACATTTTTAGATTATGTGACTAGAAGTTAACTACAATGATCTAAGACTAGATGTACTAGAGGTTTTAACTTGACAGTGAAGGGAAAGCAACTCTCCTCCCCTATTTATGACCTACATTCTGGAAGTGGGCACAAGATTTGTAAGCCTCCAGTTTGAGGAAGTGGCATTGAAAGATGGATTTTATTTATTTATTTTATTTTATTTTTTTTTTTGGAGGTACTGAGCACTTGTGTCCCACTGACTTCACTGCGATTCCTCAGCACATTTGAAAGTCAGGCCTGAAATGTTTCTAGATGAGTGCTCAAAAATGGAATCACTCGAAATTAATGAAAATGTAGGCTTAAACATCTATGAACCCAATCTATATGCCTGATATTTTAACCAACATTTAGAGGCCCCTTTTCAAAATTTGGTCCTAATGATGGTGAACTCCTTAATGATACTCCATAGTGTGAATATAGGTGTTTTATTTTTTATATATTATATATGGGGAGGGCACAGAAACACTACATAATGTATTATCCTTGTAAAGACTTGCCAATTAACTTATTACTGTAATTTGAATGGCATTATGTTCCTTCAGAAGCAAATATACATGCAAATAATGCTATAAAACCCATATACCATTACAAATACAAGCAGCAGCTGTTTTGCTGTCAGTAAGTTTCTATGCACATTACAATGTAGAAGAAGGGAAAGGGAGAGGCAGGAACAGTATAGCAAATGCTCTACTTTCTTAAATACTAAGAACTGCAAAAAGTGTTGCATCTCTTTCTGAATGTGGTTGGAAACAATTAGCAGCAGCTGTGGGAGTACTCCTGTAAGAAAACTCCAGGGAGCCTCCAGCATTTTAACTATTGTCACTCTCACACAGGAGGGGACAAACATGGAGATAAAATGTTGGCAGTGATCAGGGAGTTTTCTGCACTAGTGCCCTCACCTTCTCAGCTACCAGTTGAACAATGTCAGTGAAAACAGCCTTATGTTCATGCTTTACTTTTATTCTCTTTTACAATAGATACAACTCTACATAGCACACCCAGTCCTGTGAAACCACTGCCTCCTGACCCTAGACCACTGGTAAGTAAAAAGCTTGTACTGTCTGTTTACAGTAGATCCTGTTTATTGGACAAATTCTTCTTTCAGCACCTGGATGACATGAGAAATGAGGAGAGCTCCAGACAGCTCTTCAGTGGGAGGTACTTTGACATTATTGAAGTTTCCCTGGCACCCAATACACAGCAGGGGAAAGGAAAGAAAAATACAGATGGTAGTATGTCCTCCAGTCCATCCAATTCTCCATGCACCCACTACCTTGTCCATATGCCTCTGGATTTTCTGGGCAGGAGACACTGCAGAACCTGGAAAGTCTCAGATAGTTTACTATTAGCAAAACTTCCATCTGCGTGGAAACTATGCCTATAATATTTAAAATTCTGGATTACAAATTCTCTCTATGAATCTGTTTCCATGAAGTAAGAGGAAATCTGGTGTTCTCCATGTTTAAGTTCTAGCTTTTGAATCTTTAAGGGACCCTTACATCATATTTTTCCAGTTGTTCTGTACAACCACAAGGGCTAGAAACTTACTTCTTAAGAAATGAAAGCTATGAACCCCATAAATTTACTTGACTCAAGCAGAAAGGGCTGTAAAAAAACACAACACCTCACAGAAAGTTTGATAGAAATTACAAGAGTTGCCAAAACTAGGCTAGATGCTTGTTGTATCAATAAGGTTTTTGACACCTGTTCTGGTCATAACATTTGAGGATAATTTTACTATGACTAAGCAAGAATAGAACTGGTTTCAAATACCACAGCCCATCCTGGTTTCTGTCAAAGGATTGCTTTGTCTACCTAGAGAGATTATCATCATGCAAATCATCTGCTGAGCAAATTGACTCATATTTTATAGCTCATCATCCCTAATCCTGAGGAGATATTTTGAATGGGAAATTTAAAAAGCAGGTTCATGACAATACCCAGATGGGCTCCAAAGTTCAAATTCTATGCAAGTCCTTTATTAAAAGTATAGTAACTACTGGCTGGTCCGATTTGCATGACAGCTCACTTACAAAGGTTAATACTGCTGTCACATAACAGGATGCATTTAATCCAGCAGCTATATGTTTTGCTGTTTGGTGGGAGGAGGAGAGCATTGAGCTCTACTTTGGAGCTGATCCAGTGGAGAGAGGCTGCCTGCCTGTAACCTCTTCTCCTAGCTCTGTCCTCACCCTCCCCAACTCTGATACTGTCTGCAGGATGGGAGGTGGGGAGAAGGAAGACAAGGGAGCTCCAGGCTAGGGTTTTCCCAGTCTGAGGAGGAGGAGGGTCTGAGAAAGCCAAACAACTGTTTAAAATGATATAATGATATTTAACAAGTAGCTTAAAAGATTAAAGTAAGGAGATTTTAATTACATTGGACAGGTCCCGAGTCCAGTTAGTAAAAAATTCAGAGCCCCAGTTCAGAGAGGAGCTAGACAGTTATAAATACCAGGAAAACCCCCTCCTTACTTCTGTGTCTAGTCATAATGTGTACTTATTATAATACAAACTTTACAGGGCTGAAGTACTGAGTCTTACTGGCCTCATGTGTTCAGGAAGAGGTCAGCTACAAAATTCAGATTTACCAGTGCTTCAAGTGAAAAAAAATTATGCCATCATTATGCACAGCAAAGGGTAGAAAGAGATTATAAAGATCTAGGAAGCCTGAAATAGCAGGAGGGACTCATTTTAATCTGTTTGCCTACTTTTTAAAAATGAAAAGTCCTGTACAGTGGCAGCAAAATCAGGGAAAAATGCCAAGTGCTCTCTAGCAAATTATGCCCTTTTTAAAGCAAATTGTAAAGAAGCATAGTGTGCTTCTTTGTGACCTCTATCCTGAGAGGGGGACACTGGTGTCCCCCTCTCAGGATAGAGGTCAGGGCAGCTCAGGGTCTCTATATAAATTGCAGTTTTTTTGTGCCCTGGAGAGGTCACTCCAGCTTTGCTTTATTTTTCAAGTGAGGATTATGTTCAGAGAGCTGATGTCTCACTTAGTATCATCCTATTATCTCATGAGACAGACATATGCCTAATATTACTACTACTATAACCACAATAAATAAATAAAATATAATAAAATATGAAAACTCTGATGGGCCAAGAGAAATTACACTTTCCATTTTATAGATGCATTAGGGATGTCTTAGTGAAAGAGCCAAATACATCACTTATGAAACATAGCCCTTATAGTTCCCATAGTTTTGCATTACAAATAATCAGACTTGATTATCTATTGTCATAGTTTCTGCCTATCATCTTTAGAAAAAGAAATAAAACGTGTGTGTTAAGAGTTGGTCAATGTACTTTTTTTTAAATGAACCTATTGTGTAATACAGTATAACCTCATAAATCCAGATATCAAAACCCAGAATTCCTGAAAATCTGGCACTTTTTAAAAATACGCTACATAAAAGAGTAGCAGTGGCTGGTCCCAAAGCAGTGGAGTGGGAAACTAGCACATGGCACCTGCCGCTGCCATCCACTACCCACCACCCCATGCCACCACTCTGTACAGCCGCTGCTTCAGGACCAGCCACCGCTACTCTCCCCGCCCCACTCTGTGACTGGCCGCTGCTCCAGTTTCAAAAATCCAAAACATTCAAATTTCCAGCAGGTGCTCAGTCCTAAACACACTCAGTTTATGAGGTTGTATATTGAGGCCAGGCGCTGGGTGGTGTGGCTGCTAAGGTGTACAGTTGAATTTGCCTAGAGGTTGCAAATTCAAGGCCATAGCAGAAGTGCTCATGGTGTGGTCATGTCAGGTGCCAATGAATCTGTAAATTCTACTAAATGCCTTGTTACAAGGGCATGGGAAGGAGGGAAGCACACTGGGGCCTTCTGAAACCATTTAGTATCAGGACATTTACATGGGCAAAATGCACCAACACTTCATGACACAAAGTATAAGAGGTGTAAATATGAGTTAAAACCCATTGTATAAACTTATTTGCTATTGTGAGTGTAACAGGGAGCCTACCGGGGCCGATCTCCATGTGGCCCGCTCACCTGTTCTTGGTGAAACCACCCACCTTCTTGCCCACCACACCTTGATCTTAATTGATTAATTAATAGATGTAGTTTGGTGGGAGGCTACCCATGTACTGCCCTTCTGCTAGGGGGTGCTATCTGCAGCTCCATTCCTCCCCTACACTGCTGCCCAAGCCTCACAGATGACATGTTTTCAAATGTGCCAGTCCCCCACAATGGGGCCCAGAATCTTGCTGTAGGACCCCCAACTGAGTTCCTCCCTTCAGGTGGACACTGCCACTATCATACCAGGCCAGATATCGCCCTGCCATCAATTCCCCTTCAGGTGTGGTCCCCTCACTGGAACCTTCAGCTCACACTAGCCCCAGCCTATCTCCAGGACAGTCAGGACCCCAGGCCCCTGGCTCTTGGGTGTCCCTCCCAGTGGGCCTCCTTGCCCTCCTGGTCCTGGCCCCTGCCTGGGCCAGTCAGGGGAAGCTCTGGCAGGCCTCACTGTATGACCCATACTCTTTTCCCAGGGGCCCCCTCTCTGGGTCCTCCTTTACAGACGTAGTGACCTGGGGTACCTCACACCACAACTGGTGCCTCAGGGTCTCACAGGGGACTCCCATTCCCTCCCTGGGCAGCAGGTCATGATGCTACTACCAGTGTTATATTCAACCCAAACTCTGCCTCACCACTTTGGAGGACTTACTGGGGTCAGAACTCAGCTCTCTCTCTGGCTGAGCCCCCTCTCCCTTCTCAGGGCTCCACACTGCTTGTAACACCCCCTTTACTCAGGGTCTTGGGGCTTCCCTCCACAGGTGGGCTCAGGTGGCCATAGCCATGCCTAGGGCCAACTTGAAGATCTACAAGGTCCCTTCTGACCCTACTTTTAAGATTCTATGATTCTCTCCTCCTCAGGGTCTCAAACCCCCACAGGGCTCAGGCAGCCTTGGCCACACCTGGCCTCCAACTCTCCTCCACAGGGCTTGCACCCCCACAACTACCTCCAGTGTACACAACCCACCCAGAGGTGAGGGCTAGGGGTTAAGGCACCCCAACCCACCTTTCACCAGGGTGATCACTGGCCTGGCATTTCCTGGGGGCTCCCACACCACTGGGAGCCCCACCAGGCCACCCACTCCCAGCAGGGTGTAGTTTCAGGTCATACCCAGGACCAGGAACCTCCTACCATCCCCAACAGCTCCTCCCTTACCTCCAGATGAAATTCAGCAGCCCTCTAACCAGGCAATGTTATTGTCTGCCCTCCAGCAGCCAAACTGCCTTGTTTATGTAGGCAGCCCTGAGCCTAAAATGGCTGCCCTCATTAGGCACCTGGAGGCTGCCAGCTGCAGGGCCTTAAAGTGGCAGGCACACCTAGTGCCCTGTCACAGTGAGACATCTCTAATATCTAATCTTCACAAAGCAAACCCATAGAGAGTTGACCTCATTCATAACATCATTTCTTCTGGTGCAATTTTTAATTTGTTGGACTCAATTCTTTTCTCAGCTATAGTACAGAACTATGTCTCTTGTGTCTTGTAAGATCTTTGTTGGAGCTAATTTTATAAAATATGCAGTTCTATATGTGCCAGAGTAGGACCAAGCCTCATTTTAACCAAGTTTACTTTGTATTTCACTATTTTTGAACTGCAGATGCTGGAATGTATTTCTGAACAGATGAACAAATATACACATACACATATAGTAAACCATACACATTCTAAATTAATTTGTTCGCAGTTGTCAAGCACATTGAAGATATAAACTGCTATCTAAACACTAAGTATTTTTTCCTATGGTAACCCATAACATTGTCATTTTGTGGTCTCTGCCTTCAAAAGATGAAGCATAGTAGTTTGCCTCAGGTTCTAACACCAGCAATGTCTTTCTTGAAGATTGCTGTGGCTCAGTATAACTACGAACCCCAGGGAAACTGTGATATCCCACTTGTCAGGAACAGCCAGTATTATGTTCTGAAAGAAGAAGATCCAGAACGGTGGAAAGTGAGGGACATAGAAGGGTAAGTTCAGTCTTCAAAGCTGATGAAGATTTTTTGTTCAGTGACTGCTTTGATTCCACACCCTTAAACACTCCTGCTGCCATTGGTACATTTCAGGATCTAACAATAACTATTGTGGTGGCTCTTTAAACTTGTTCTAACTAATCTTGTGAGCTTGTTTTTTTCTATACACTGCCTTTCTCTTGCCTCTGTATCTTGCCCTTGAATCCTTGTTACAGTCAGAAGTAGATGGTACAACAGAGTAGCTCTCAGATTCATGTACCCAGATTCATGTAACCAAGTGATATGGAGTTTTAGGGCAGGGATTTTCAACCTTTTTTAGTCTAAGTACCCCCAGCAGCCAGACACTGAGTGGGGGAGGAGGGGGAGGGGGGAATAGCTCAAGGCTGAACACCAAGTGGGGGTGGGTATAGTGCATGGCTGAACGCCGAGTGTGGGGGGTGGGTAGCGTGTGGCTGGACACGGAGAAGGGAAGCAGGACAGTGCAGGGGCAGGTGGGGATGGAGCATCATCACCTCCTAGGAGCAGGGCCAAGGTGGGACAGGGTAGCTGACCGGCCTGGGCTGCGGGCAGCGACGCCCCTCTGCAGGGTGGGGAAGCTCACCAGGTTGGTGTGTGGCAGTGGCAGCCACCATGTGTGAGCTTCCCCTCCCTGCAGAGGAAAACCGCTGCCCTCACCCCACCCCAGCCCTCATCCTGGGAAGTGCGGGCTCCTCCATCCCGACCTGCCCGCGTGTATCCCCTAGGACTGTTCAAAGTACCCCAGGGGTATGTGTATCACTGGTTGACACCCCCTGTTTTAGGGGAAAGAATGAACCCCATTTTCTATCACCCAGGTCCACAAAAAGTCAACTACTTGCAAACTGTATAATAATAGTTTTTTTCAAATAAAAAAAAGAGGGTTTTACATTAATTATGACAGCTAAGTATCTACCCCTTAAGTAGATACTTTATTTCTTTATACTTTGAGTATCTTGATTTCCCTGCTTACCTCATCCCACTCCTCAAATGCCAACTGCCCTATTAGGAAAAATTTAAAATAGTCACTACCTGAAATAGTCTCTATTCATTTTTATTTCAGTATGTGCCTACAATAACAGTAACAGCCACAAAGTTTATGGGGACTGTTAGGAAAGACGCATATTTCACCATAGTGTCTTATATGAGGGTCAGTGTTACTCTCGACATAGTGCTGAGGCTTCCTTAGTCCTATCCTTTGGCGTTCACAAAAGAGCGGAATTCCCTTCAACAAATTTTTAAAAAAAGAAGGATTTTTTCCTGTTAGTATCCAACCAGGGCCAATGTAAGAAGTTTATTTCTCATGTAAATGGGAAATTGCTTTAGGAACAGGCTAGGGCAAAAGCAGAGCAGCAAAAGAAAAGTTTTTGAGAATACCCGACTAGAGATACAACTCAGCTAAGTACTTCCTGGAAAATGTGGGAAGGAACATTTTGAGCTGGGAGAGGTCCTACATAGGTCTCATGGGATGTTGGATTGAGTGGAATTAAGCTTTTAATCATAATTAATTCACTAATTCAAATAACATATGTACATAAACATATAAACAAAGAAAATATGAATGTATAAATACTCGAAATATGCAGTGGAGCTCACCTGGGTGGTGCAGATGCAGTCTGCACCTCCACTCTGGCCTGTGGCTGCTCCCTGGTGCTCCACATGGGGCTGAGCCCTGTCCACTTCCACCCAGGCACTGACAAAGTATAGGGGGTACATGTGGGTGCACATACACCCCCTGAGCATGGTGGTGCACCCCTTGCGAAAAGGCGCTGGCAATTGGTGTTTGCCACCTTCCCCCGCCTCCCACCTCTGGCATCTGCAGGCAGTCTGTGATTGCCGCTGGCTGCCGCAAACACTGCTGGTGGTGTCTGCAGGTGGTCACCGACCACTGGTCAGTACTTGTCACCCCACCCCTACTGCCACCAGCACCACCACCTCCACCTGTTGAAGCTCGCCGTGCCCTTCCAGCCTCCAGGAGCACATGGCATTCATGCACCCAGGGCAGCCTGTCCCACACTCCTGCCAGCCCCAACACATGGGGTGGGGAGTATAGAGAGAGAAAACAGTGGTAGGTGGGGGGGGGGAAGCTGTAGCTGGGCTGCTCCTGCCCCAGCACATGGGGCTCCAGGTCTAGCTCCCAGCTGCCTTCCACCCACCTAAGGGCAGCTGAGTGGGGCAGCCCCTCCAGGAAAGGGCTGTGACCATGGGCTGGGCCCAGGGCCAGTGGCAGCATGAGGCTGAGCTGAGGCCAGCAGGAGTTCAGGGCCAGGTCTGGCAGGAGTGTGGGGCTGGAGCCTGGGGCCAGGGCTGGGAGGAGAACATCCAGGGCCCTCCAGTGGGCAAGGGTGGGAGTGCAGTGCACATTGTCCGGGATGGGAGCAGGCAGGGCTCGGCCCTATGTGGAGCACAGCACGGGCAGCCATGGGCTGAGCCAGATACAATTAATTGGTGGGTGCCCCACCATGGGCCAGATCCAATTAACTGGCAGGCTGGATCTGGCCCAGATCCAATCAGCTGACAGGCTGGATCTGGCCTATGGGCCATATTTTGCCCACCCCTGGTCCAAGTGGTATATGCACACACATGATACAGGTAGTTCCTTGCACTCTGAGGTCAAAAATACCGTTTTGAGTTGAAACAAAGGATACATCAGCAAAAGAGAATTATTTATAGTATTTTCTCTTTGGCCAAAATCTTTAGTCAGAGTTTGAGACCTTAAATGGGAGTTTCTATTATGATGACCTATAAACAATGAGAGTCACATTTTCTTATGGTGTTACTGTGTTTATCTTGAAAAAGGTATACACAGTCCTATTGCCCTGAACTCAGTGGAAACAAACATCAGGCCCTTTCCTTGCTCAGAAATCCTCAAGTCTGTCACTACAGTGAAGTCTATGCCCAAGAAGCTCTGTCTTTCTGCTCCTTCGTTGTAGGCATATACTGAGCTGAGTCTCTCACACACTGTTACTGAAGTATAGCAATATCCTAGCTATCTTTTTTCAACCTGAGATACTCATCAATCCAGGTAGCTTTTCTCTGACTGGCTATGATGCTAAAAGTCTTGGGAGTTAGCCCCACAACCCACAACTGTTTCTAGTGCATAAAGGTTGCCTCCTTGCTCTTTGTATTGAGCCTAAATAAAACTGGTTGGCAGACCATTAACTTTCTAAAGCTTGTGATCAGCTGTGGTTTGTTTGCCAGCTAGGTGTTGGTGCTTTTCATTTTAACAATTAAGATGTTTGTCCACCCCAGAACTGGGTGCTCCGATCCTTCTGCCAAAGAAGTTAATCACCAAGGCAAAGATTATTTCAATGATAATGCACATTTTAATTCATCAACATGCAATTTCCTAAAACAGCATACATTGCCTATGCATTCTTCTATATGATAGGGAAAGCCAAAATATTTTAAAAATTAAACATGAACATCTCTATGACCCTGCAAAAGAAGTCTTTGATTAATTCCATATGCTATTTTAAAAGAACAGATTTTAAATTATATAAAATGTTTCCTCTTTCAGGAAGGAAGGCATTGTACCAAGTACTTTTTTGAAAGCCATATCCATCAATGATGATGAACTTAGGTAAATCAACCTCCAACTATTCTTCTCCCTACAATTTAAGGAATCTATAAATCTATGAAAGGCTCATCTGCATTTCCATGATATTTTGTTTGTTTATGACATATTCAATATATTTCTGTATTCTCTTCATAAAGTGCTGTAAAATATAGAACAAAATGTGTCGTCTTTTGCTTTTTGCAGATGTATTTAATGTGTAAAAGTCATATAAAAATATGGACCCACTGAAATGAATGACAATTTTTCTGTCAACTACAGTGGGGCCTGAATTTAACCCTGTATATTCTTACTTCAATTTTAGGACTCTGAAACTTAGACATGCAAGACAATTTATGTATATAAGCAGTCCTGTAGACAGCCAAGTGATTTTGATTAAGTAAAGCTTTTCAGATCAAACTTCGCTTTCCTCTATTTTGTAGTTTGATCCTAAATTTGTACAAACTTATGTTTTACATAAAATTAACCACATATTTGCTAGGAACAGGCCTTTCATGACATGAAAATAATCCCATAGCATGTAAAGAGGAAGCAAAGCTGAATAAGGCCCCTAACATGTTTTTGAATACATAATTTTATGAAATCCTGAATGTTGGAGAACAGCTAAAAATCCCTGCTTTTTCAGATTCTAAGGGGTTTTTTAGGATGCTATTTGTTTACTTGTTTTGGCATATGCAATTTTCTTCTACCCACAGTGGTAAAAGCATGTTTTGGAGGATGCTTAGTTTTTGTTGTTTTGGAGGATTTCCATATAAATTCCAATGAGGCAAATGAAATATCTTTTAAAAATGCAGCTGAAATCCACAGGCCTCCAGTTTATCAGGATAAGTAGACAGAACATTTTACTCTCTGACTCACTACAAGAAATCACAAAAGGCTAAGGAGGTTAGAAGTTAGCTGAGGTTAGACCAAGGGTAAACAAACCCCTGGCATGTGTGCTAGAGTGTGACATGCAAAGCCATTTTGCTTGGAACTTGCACATCGGGGAAGGGGCCAGGGCTGTGTTGCCACAACAAGGATCAGGCCCCTTGCTCTCTCTCACCACCCAACATCTTACAAGTCAAGCTTGCAGGTGTTTTTGGCACTCTGCCCAAAAATGTTACCAAACCTTGGATTAGACTATTTTATCATAGGAAAGGGGCTTTTTTTTGGGGCCCCAACTAAACTCATAGAAATTGAAATACAATTAAATTCTTAAATTTTCCAAATGAAAAAAAAATCCGCTTTGGGCTGAGACATAACCATAGCTCTAACTCAGTAAAAATATTTATAATATAGTTTTTAAATTGAGGAAGGCAGAATCAACATTCATTTCAATATAGCATTTTATCTTTGTAGGGAAAACTTCAGCATTGGTAAACATTCATCAGAAGAAGAAGACAGTATTGATAATCATGAGTGAGTATGCAGACAATTTTTTACATATAATCTGTAAGTCCTTTTAAGGCAAAGTCTAGCTGAAGCCACACACTAGAGATGGGGGCTTGGGATCTGGGGGTCATGTGCCAGGGGTTTGCGAGCCACATGGCAGAGCCTGTTCTGACCACAGTGGCCCCCAATCCCTCAGCTCTGATGTGCAGTCCTGGCCCCCAACCCCCAGCCCAGGCATGCAAACCTAGCCTGCAGCCCCAGTGCATGTCCTCCAGCCTCCAACTCCCTACCATGTAGCCCCCAACTCCTGAGTCCTCAGCCCCAGTATACAGACTCAATCCTCCTGCCCTGTCACATGGCCCAAACTCCAGAGACCCCCAGACCTCACACACTTATACATCCACCAAGGTAAGATTTTTTTCTTTCTTGGGGCCTTCCAAAAATAAGCTGTTATATTCAGGGAGTGGGTTATATGCTAAAAAGTATGGTAGGTATTTCTGTGTGGCTCTGTGCTATGTAGATATACCACAGAGGAGAGAGCTTGGCTTTTAAAAGAAGATTCTAAAATTATCATCCTGTAAGGGTTTTTTATCAGCCTGCTTTGCTCATATATTATTCAGGTATCATAATGTCAATAACATGCACAATATTTCTGGCTGCAGCTGGTATGCAGGTAATATCTCCCGGGCCCAGTCAGAGCAACTACTGCGACAAAAGGTACTAAATATCCTTTATTCACTGGGCTTAACCTATTCTGGAAATGGTTCAGTATTTATTGTTGACTTTGCTACTCCGTGTGGGTAGATGATGCTAATGGTCTTCTAATAATCATAGTATAGTAAGAGCACCAGACACTTAAATAGTAAATTAGTGCAAAGATGGAGCAATAATAAGGTTTCCAGAAGTTTGTGGATAATTTGAGAGTTCCAATATGTAAGTATCTTATGTCACTAATTTAATTGCTGCAAATGATAGGCAGAAACTATAAATCTTCATGTAGAAGTCTGCCAATAGATTTCACTTCTGATCTGAATACCCAAACTGCTATTGCAAATGCTGGGCTTTTTCAAGGACAGACTGCCTGTCATCTAATACTTCAAGCTGATTTCACGCTGTATATACAAATGGAGGGTGCTGTACACAATGCCAGGCTCCTGTTCATAGAAAGCCCAATATGAGAAATGCTTCGAACTCAGGTTTGCAGCTGCAAGTAGTACACATCACTATGGTTCTGCATAGATCCTTTGTAGTTCACTGCTTTCATACTGCCCATTATACTGGTACCTGCCTCTGAGGTTTTTGTAGTGCACAGCTCTTCTGCAGCCATAGCCCAGCATTCCTTCCCAGCTGTCTGAACTATAAATCAGGAAAGGGACAGTCCCACTTAAAGGGCCACTAGAGGTCAGCAGGAGGACTAACCACTGAAGGCATGATATTGAAAAGTGCCAAACAATCCCAACACCCTTGGGTTTTTAAATGAAACATGAGGTCATAGGCAACTGGTACAGGGTGCATGGGGGTGCACATGGACAGTGGACCCCCTGATGGCTGACACTGATGCTGTTGGTAGGGCTGGTGCCCTCCCTGACAGGGTCAGTGGCTTCTGTGGGTGCCCCTTCCAGGTTCAGGAGGCACCAGTCACTCATGCATGAGGTTGCTCTTCATCTTGCAAAATCAATTTTAGTGTGCACCTGGACCCAGGAGCATCTACTTCCATCCACACACATGCATGTGCACATACACAGTTCTGGCACATGAATGAGGCAGTTGCAAGTCATACTCCTAAAAAATTCAAAATGAAAATCAGAATCCTGATAAACAATCACAGCAGCAGAAAGTGATCATGCCAGCTTGAGTAGGGACTAGAGTAGCAGGGAGGGAAAGAATTTAACTGTAGTTCATATTAAAAATAGCCTAAAGATGTAAATGTACTAGCTGTTCAGTCACTCAACAATATGGTGGGTGTTGAAAACCGATGCAAGTTTAAGACATTATAGAAGGAAATGTACCAAGGCAAAACTGCTGTTTCAAAATGTTGGCTAACAGTTGATGCTTCTTATTACATTTGGCTTTCTTAGGGAAAAGAAGGTGCTTTTATGGTTCGAAAATCTAGCCAAGCAGGAAAGTACACAGTATCTGTATTCAGCATGGCCCTTGAGTGAGTATTCAGAAGACTTGTATTATTTCTATTGCTTGCTCTATGGGTGTGTTCCTTATGGCAGTTCTCCAGTACTGAAGTTATTTATCATACCTAAACTAACGTTAGGTAACTTGAATTAGCAGTTTCAAAACATCATTCATGCATGCTTTAGCTTTGCTATCCCCCTGCACTGAGCCTAGTGAGGTATGACATTAAGCTCTGAAGAGAAAAGTGTTCCTTGCAGGAGGCAGAGCACACAGGTTTGGTTTGATTGCCAGCTGAACATAGAACATCATCTTCAAGAATAGGTTTTATCAGAGATTAATGTAATGGCTGGGTTGGTTAGAAAGAGAAAAAAAATGGGGAAGGAGAAAGAGTCAGAGGCTGGCAGAGGTAGAAGAAAGAAAAGCAAGGTTAGGAATAGAAATGTGCCATACTGTTGCCCTGAGGGGTCAGGCCAACACTCAGGATCTCAATATTGCACTGTTAGACAGGACAGCGTGGTGTACAATTTCACATGCACACATAAAAATCAGTTAACAACACATAGACTCACTAGGTTCATGCACCCCTACTAGGCATACACACTCACACTAGCAACTCAGATACACACACATTCAAAATAACCAGTCTAGGTTCATTCACACCTATCACCAGTTTAAGCCCATACACACTACACACACCAAACTGAGACAGAATCAGTTACCAGTTACCAACACCTGCACAACCAATACATATATGTAGATTACTAATTCATATACCACACACACAACGATATCTATATATGTATATATATGTGTATTCACTAATTCACACACATACCACCCACCTACACATATACACAGGTGAGTTCCTAAGCTGGGTGTTGTGATGTGTATGTATGTATGTATGTATGTGCTTGGGGTACTTGGGATACCTTAGGAAAGGTTAAGGTAAGAAAGTAGAAGTGTAGGGAGTGAAAGTTGCTGGGAGTGAAAGTCACCAGGACTGGGATTAGAACTGGTAGACTAGAGGGGTCAGGGCTGAAGAACTGCGGCTCAGGGGTAGCTTTAGGTTAATTGGTCTTAATTGATTAAAAGACAATGCCCAAAGCCTGCAGAACAGGGGAATGATGCTGGCACAGAGGCTGGGACTGGAGCCAGAGCTACAGGGGAGCTGAAAAGGTAGGTGGGGAGAGGGAAAATGGGACTAAGGGAAAGTGTGGGTGTTAAAGAGGGGCACGGGGTGTGGGGAAACAGAGGATGGCTCCAGAACAGCTAGAGAAGCTGCAGGGAGTGGCAGTAGGTGCTGGAAGCTGGAGAAAGGCTC